TGGCAGTGGGGTTGTCACTTGGGGAACAGAAGCCAAAGGGAGAGGCAAATGTGGCGAAGGGACAGAAGAAGTGGGAGCAGTGTTTCAAATTCTCCTTTTGGGATGTAGAACCGTGAAAGGAAGGAGGGAATCTGAATTCCCTATTTTTTACTACTGACTTTGTCATCTGCCCCTCCCTCCAAGTCCCATGGAATCTGCACCCTTGGGTGGCATTGTTTCTTATGCCCCCGCCCCCCTCCTCAGTAAGCGTGCTGAAGCAGAAAGACTGGGCCCAGAGAGGCCTTCAGCGCATCATCTCCCACCGTCAGAGGCCACGTGGCTCAGTGCTCGCAGGGACCTGGCAAAGCCTCACTGGTTCCCCTTCATGCACCACAGGGATTTGATGCATTTGCCAAGTCAAAATGTCTTTAAGCCACAAACCCATCTGGGAGGACCATGGCTGGCAGCTGTTCACACAGGACATAAATTTGTGTAATCACACCGCTCTCCCCTCACACCTGAGCTTTCCATGGCGACCTGTCGTCTGATGGAGTCATTTACCATTCCACCCTGCATCTGCACTGTGCCGGCGTGTCGCAGGAGGACTGTCAGTTAGGCTAGCCATCCAGGCCCCGGCTGCAGCCGCATGGGAAGGGAAGGCTGGGAGAAACCAGATAGGAAAAACGCAACAACACCCCAGCCACGAGGGCTCAAAGGGAAGGGGCTTCCCAATTCCCTGATCTTTCCATTCCATTCTCCATGAACAACCAAGCCCGCTCGATTCTTCAGCTCTGCTGTATGTTAAATGGATTCCTTTTCAAGAAGCACTTTTATGTAGGAAACGTTTAGAAAAGTACATAGACTTTAAGGGAACAGGCCAATGGACCCACCCCCAGAAAGAAAAATAGATCATTGCCAGCATCCTTCAAACCCTCCACTTTCTGTGTGATGTAGGTTCCAAGGCTGTAAGTGTTTACGGGAGCAGACAGCCTCGTCTTTCTCCCTCAGAGCAGCTGGTAGGTTTGAACGGCTGACCCTGCTATTAGCAGCCCAAGGTTTATCCAACAGCACAAGCAGAGCTCCCCAAATGCTTTCTGCTGAACCCTGGCCATCATTGTGGTTTTTATTCCTGTCAATTGATTTTACCTGGGTTTGCATTTTGTACGTGAACCCAAATACTATCGTTCTTTTGTGTCTGTGTTCTTTTGCTCAATATTTGTAGCTTCTCTTTATTTATGTTGCTGAACCACGCAGCACTTCCTTCACTTACACTGCTCATAGAGTTCTATACAGAACCTGGGCTGCGCTGTCAGGTAAGCACTGGAACCGTGTGACAGCGTCATCACCTGCTTCTCCATTAGATTTTTGCCCCACACCTGGGTGGTTTCCCGTCTGGTGCCATTACAAGTGATGCTTCTATGAGCATTTCTGTTCCTGTCTTTTGTGCTGGGGTATGGATGGATTTCTATTGGGTATAGAGATATACATTTATAGATTCACAAGCAATGTAGCCACCATTTGAAAGATTTAATTTAATATTAAATTAAATATTAGGAAATATTCCAATGCTAAACAACCATGTTACAAATAGTCTTTCAAAAAGAGCCATTTGTATAATTTGACCATCAGTGGTTGAATGCTCTCCTTCCATGCAGGAGACTGTGGTAGTTACATAATCTGGTGTCAATTTAGGACTTGAGATGATTTCAAGTGAAGGGGTAGAGTTGTCTATCAGTCGGATCATAGCCAATGAGGCCTCTGTGTGGGCATGGCCTTCTTCTGGGAATTCTGGGAACTCCTGTTTTTTTCTTCCTTGGAGATGGGAGACACACTCTCTCCTCACTCCCTGAGAGACTCTCTACTGACAAGACACATGGATCTATGCTGATGGCAATAAGAGCCCTGGAACTGGAGAAGCCATGTGGAGACCTCTGCCAGCGCTGAGACGCTTACCACGCCACTGGATCCAAAGACTTTCCACCCACTGGCCTGTGATCCTCCTGCATTCGGCATCATGACATGTATTTCGTGAGTCTGAAGAGGACTTTGAAGATTGATATCGGATATATGGGCTAATATCAGACTTATGTTACCTTGCCAAGGTGTGTCTGTCAAGTAGTCCAACCTCATTCCATGTGAGACTAGCTCCTTTTATTTTGTTCAACATTTGCTGCAGTGTCTGAAACCATGAAAAACGTATGAGTGATGTAAATGTTTAGAAAGCTCCTGAGCGTTTGCCATTCAACACGATGTGATTTCATGCACAATGGCAGCCGTTTTGCTTCTTTACAAGATGACAACTGTAAAGTCAAGAATTATGTAACTTTTATCTTAATCCCTGAAAATCAGAGTCTCGGAAGCATTGTTGGGAGTCTATAATTCAAGCTAGGTGTGTGAGTGTGCACATACACATCTGTATGTGCGTGTGGAGATAGATGATAGACAAGGGAAAGCTGTGACCATCTGTATTGGGTATCGTTCCTGCTGTAGCTTGAATTTCTATTAAGTTGTATTAAAAGAATGTGATGGTCATAACTGTTGAATCTTAAAAAAATAAGATTCTATTCAAAACAGCGAAATGTTAGGAAAACGTTCAACAATATGTAGTACTAGTAGACTTTGCCTGAACTACCTCCCATAAGCATCACAGTAAACCGAACACCCAAATCATTGCCACTGAGTGGACTCCCAGGGACCATATGAAACCCAAACCCAGCTCACTGCTACAGAGTCAATGCGAGTCACAGCGACGCTGTAGGACAGAGCGGAACTCCTGTGTGAGTTTCTGAGACTGGAACTCTAGGACCGAATAAAACTGCCCCGTAGGGTTTCTAAAGCTGTCGATCTTCACGGAGCCCAACTGCTACACCATCAGTTTGGTGGGCTCACCACCCAACCTTGTGATGGCAAGGAAGCGGAAATAACCATTATGTCCCCAGGGCTCCCAGTATCACAGTAAGGCAGTGAGTTGTTAATTATTAAGAATATAACTCCCCGGTCTTTATATGTGGTTTATTATGTATTTATTAACTTTTCCTTTAGTGTACTATCATTTTTTTAAAACTATAACCATGTTTTCTTAGACTTCAAACCCTCGAAAATAGAGGTATTCCTAACTTTCAAGGATTGTCCAAGAAGTTGACACGTCCCGTTTGTATGATAAACATGTATTCTGTAGTCGGTAGGAAGCGTGACAGACAGAAGGGGCTATTTACCCAGAGTCCCCATGATCTGGGAAGGAGCAGGAATGTGGAGTAGGGAGTCCGTGAATGAGATAGGTATATAGTAAGAACTCCCTGCTGTGCACCAGCCATTCTTTAACTATGTCGTCTAGAATCTTCACATCAATTAGATAGCGTCTATTTAACAAGCCCCCCTTCCCCCGTAAACCTCCTCTTGAATGGTGTTGCAGAAATTGCCCATGCTTAAATCCTAGACTAAGGATTTCACCAAAATTGAACTGCATCCAAAGCCTTGCTTTTTACACTGTACCAGGCAATTTGGTTTTACAACTACATATATTGAACATTTAATAGGGCATTTTGGCAGTGGCAGTTGCCACAGTGCCCGGGATGTCTTTCCCCACTTCTCTGGTAAATTTCAACATGCGGAGCCAGTAAATCCCGAAGAAGCCCTCTCTCACGCCCTCGGTACCAGCACGTGGGCTTCCTGAAGATTAATCCTGACACCGTTCAGGCTGTGGCACAGAAATGAAGGCTCTGGAAGCACACGCGGTGAATATGACAGGGATATGTTTCCTATAAATATTTTAAAGAAGCTAAGAAAGTGATGAACACTACGTACAATTTTCAGCTGCCCTGGTAGCACGGTGAGTTAAGTATTAGGCAGGTGCTCCGAAGATTGGTGGTTTGATTCCACCAGTCATGTCACGGGGGCAGTCTATAAAGCTTTACAGCCTTGGTAACCGCTTGGGGAAGTTCTACTCCACATCAGTGGGTTTGGATTTGGATTTAAGATTTCAAAATGTATGTTATGTTTATAATTGTATTTTATGCTTTCTCATTCTGTACTTGTCTAATATTTTAAACAAAATTACTAAAAGTATACACCTATGACATTTATAAAATTACACATTCATAAAATTAAATAAAATCCTTTGTGAAATTATACTAACTTGATACACTGTTGGTAGATTCATAAAATTATCACACCCACAGCAGAAATCCACATGGGATTGTATGGCACATAGTTGCATTTTTAGAGTGAAGCTACTATTACTGGATTATATGCAGCAAATTTGAGGGTGATTATCTAAATTTAGAAGACTCCAAATTTATTATAAATGTTTTGTGCGTCTGAATCAGATTCTGTTTCTTCCCTATACCAGCATATTTATCTGTGAAAGCCGTTTTTGTTTTATACTGTAATCTTGATAGGAAGGCATCAGGTCTCTTGAGAATGAGTAAGTGTTGCAACGAAGTATTATGCATTTTTAAGTGTCCTATGGTCACTGAAGGACAGGGCGTAGTGGTTATGCTTTGGGCTGCAATCCACAAGGTCGGCAGTTTGAAACCACCAGCCGCTCATAGGGAAAGCAACAGGGCTTTCTATGCTCTTAAAGAAGCTCACGGGGCAGTGCCCCCTTCCCCTCTAGAGTGGCTAGGAGTTGGTGTCAACTTGATGGTAGTGAGTTCCGGTCACATAAGTTTGGCGAATGCTGCTATCTAGAGTGTTCTACTGCTGACGCGAACGGTGAAGAATGGAACTTGGACAAAGTAGAGCAAATAATGATTCGCTCATCCTCGTTTCCTGGGACCTGTTAACTAAGTCCCATCAAACCTATAAATGAAGTGCTGTCTCATTGCCCTGCGTTGCCATGTAAATTGCCTTTATTGGAGGAACTGTTTGCTTTATCATTCTCATATTGCAGTCAACGTTGGTCTTTCAGAACAAAGAACTTTTAACTTGATATAGGACTCTTACTATAAACAAACGTACCATTTGCCATCCTAGCTAAAAGCAACAGACTCTTGTAAACGACTTGTATTCTTTACCCCCAGCAATGCATCTATTTGGCCTCAACTGGCAGTTACAGCAGACTGAAAACGACACCTTTGAGAATGGAAAAGTGAATTCTGACACCATGCCAACAAACACGGTCTCCTTACCTTCTGGCGACAACGGTAAGAGAAAGAATTCTATTCCATGTGTCTTTCTTTCTTTACAATCCACTTCCCTAGATGCCTTTGTACCCTGGTGTATGTCCAGTTTTTTAGGGAAGAGGTTTTGAAATTACATAGATCATCTTTTCATGAATGCTTTTTATACATTTTGATGCAAGGTTGAAAATGCACATTTTATCAGAGAGATAATATGATTTTCTGCCTTCTGATTTGATGGCTAGACTTTTCTGCCTTTCCCACCTGCAAGAATGTATTAGTTTTATTTTTAGTCTGCAAATAGATTATAATTCAGTGTATCATCTCTTATATTACCTTGGATATATTAAGTTTTCTTCATTCAACTAGTATGTGGAGTTGGAATACTATGTTAATTTTGTTATAAAGATTTTAAATACAAAACACTTGGAAGGTTTACAATTTATTGACCTTGCCTCTAGATACCTTTTCTTGAAATCCTTTCAGAGTTTGCACTTTGAGCTAACAGAGCCATTCAAATCAATTGGCTCTGAATTGAGAATTCAGGGTAGAAGATAAATGATTAGAGACTTTTATTTTATTATTTTAATATAAATACTTAGAACCTTATCTTTACATGCCTATACTTATACCACATATACCTGTATATTATTTCATGCATGTGTGTGTTAATACACATTTTAAAACTAACTTATTTTAACCAATAAGTACTAGTTGTCCTAAGGTTGACCCCAAGGGCACTGTTTGTATGTGAGAAGGGAACTGAGCTCTGTCGTTTTCAGCGGCTGATTTCTCTGAAGTAAATTGGCAGGTACCCTCCAGTCACCAATCTTTATGCTACCAGCCAAGAAGGGCATTAGCTGTTTGAGCCCTTACCTTCTGTTTAAGGAGAATATAGCTTGGCATTTGGCATCCTCTGGCTTTTGGAAAATTATCATACTATTTCATATCTCAAAACAACCGGACCAAGACACCTTCTCGTGACACTTGTTGGTTTGTTGGCCCATCCCTCGTTCTTCTTACTCCTTGTTTCCTCTTCACCTAATTATATTTCTGTTCTACTTTGGCACCAATTCTATCCTTTCTCAGGGAGCCAGTTTTCTTGCGAGACAAAGGAAAAAAAGTTCTATTTTTGATTAGAAGGCATGGGCCCATTGTTGCCGCCACTGTGGCAATCCATGCCATGGAGGGCCTTCCTCCTTTTCACTACTGCGTTTGTCTGGGTACTTTAGAGAAACAAATCCACAGAAACTCATAAGTAAGAGAGAGTTTTATATAAAGGTTAAGTGCGCATCAAGAAAACATCCCAACCCAGTGCTGCCCAAGCCCACAAGTCCAACATTAACCCCTATGTCCAACACCAATCCACGAAGTCCTCCTCCATTTCACAAAACAGATGCAATGATGCCGACTTCAGGAGGAAAGCCAAGTCAATGAACGTATAAGCATCTCAGCGCTGGCAGGGGTCTCCACGTGGCTGCTCCAGCACCCAGGGCTGCATCGGGATAGGTCCATCTGGCTTCTCTTCAGTGATGTCTTGCAGGAAGTGAGCCTTGCCAGCTAAAGCAGGCAGCTGCACCCTGGTCGGACCATCAGAAAGCAAGAGACCCTAGAACTAGAAAGGCGAGGCTCACCACGCCATTTCTCTCTCTCCCCTTCAATTAAACCCACATGTGTTTATCAGCCAGGTGGGCACAATAAACTAACTACCTCAACTACCCTCTACTTTCCCAAACATGATGTCCTTCTCCAGGGACTGATCTTACTTGACATCATGTCCAAAGTGCATGATATGAAGTCTTGTCCCCTGGCCTCAAAAATTCCATTCTCTTTTCATCCTGTTTTTCCAAGAACTTTTTGAAGCCCCTCATAGGCTGCTCCTGTCCTTGTACTCATTTCCGGGACTTCTGCTCCCGCTGGTCTGGTGCATGCTTGCCCTCCCATTTCACTCTTATTAGAGCAATAGTACTGTGCGGCACTTCTTTTTAGGGAGGCTGAAGAATTTTCCGAGACATTATATTTTTAGAATAATAATGAAGGTTCTCCCATAAGAAGCCTTGTCATTAAAAAGTTCTTTTTCCCCAAAAAAAACTCATAAATTAGTAACCGAAGTAGCCATTGACAGCGCCTGCATCGTGGGTGAGAGCGGGGTGAAGGAAGGCCTGCTGAATTGAAACCAAAGGTGGAAATTTAATTGAAGTAAAATGTGATTACCCGAACACTTATTTGATTTTACCGGTAACATAGATCCGAGCACATTGAGTAATTACATAGAAATTGAGTCTATTTGTTTCGGGTTTATGTTGATAGAAATGTAGAGTGTATGTTAGAGTGGATCCACGGCACTTGAATCAATTTTGACTTATCATGACCCTGACCCTGGAAGACAATGAACTGCTCCTGGGAATTTCTGAGCCTGTAAATCTTCATGAGAGCAGAGAGCCTCATTTTTCTCCCTCAGTCCATAGAAGCCTATACTCAAATATGAGCTCCTCTACCTATTTATGTATAATTCAGGGCAAGGTGTTTTAGGGTAATTTTAGAGAATCCCAGAATAGGCTCTCTACATTCATGTTAGCACCCAGAGTTTCGGGGAAACCTCAAATGAATATGCTTCAGAAACCTCTAAGGAGCTAGAATCCTCTATCATGTTGTTGTTGTTGTTGTCGTTGTCATTGGGCACCCTCAAGTCAGTTCCAACCCACAGGGACCCTGGATCCAGCAGATCAAGATACTGCCCCGTCCCGTCCCATCCTTACTGTTCCTATGTTTGAGCCCATGCTGCAGCCACTGTGCCAAGCCACCCATCGAGGGCTTCCTCTTTTTTCACCACCCCTTTACTTCCCCAAGCACAATGTCCTTCTCAAGGGACTGGTCTCTCTTGACCCCATGTCCAAAGTACGTGACATGAAGTCTCACCCTCCTTGCCTCCAAGGCAAGTCCGGCCCGTCCTTCCTCGAAGACAGAGATTAGTGTGCTTTTGGCAGTCATCCGCGGCCCTTTCCCCTGGGCTCCTGCAGAACCTGCGCATGGGTCGCGATGCAGTCGTCCGAACGGAGCACGGGAATATCGCATGGTTGGAAATCTGGAAAGGTGTGTGCCAGGGTTGTCTCCTCTCACCAAGTACGTCTTCCATCTTTTTGATGAGGAAATCATCAGAGAAGCTGGCATGTATGAAGAAGAAGGTGGCATCAGGATTGGAGGAAGGCTTATTAACCTACCACATGCAGATGGTACAACCTTGCTTGTTGGAAATGAGGAGGACTTGAAGCATTTGCTGTCCTTGTAACATTTAACTTTTGACCATGGTCTCTATGAGAAATACATGTTCCTTTGAAGCCCACATCCACAAGCACACATGTACATATCCTTCCCAAAGGCAATACTTATCCTTAGTTTGGGAAATGAGTCCTAGTATACATATAGTCCTAATATAAATTTTATTATATTGCATTGCAGTTTCTATTTTTTTAAATGCTACCTGCTAAACCCACCGAAATAATTCCACAGTTTACAAAAGTAGTGCCTTCCTAAGTTTCAAAACATTGTTGTAGTAGTTCTTTAAGCAAGACTGCAGTTCTCCAAATGACCGCACAATGCGTTTCGTACACTAGATGTGTCCTGGAGAGCTACTGTCCATATGTGGGAGTAAAGGACCATTTTCCTCTCCTGGTCAGGAAGCTTTCAAAATGAGGAATGGATAGCAGATGCCTGGGACTGAGTTAAGTCCTCTAAGAAACGAACCTCTCAGCCTACCCACTGGATTTGGGAATTCTGACAAATTTCCCTGAATGGAAAGAAAGCTGCCTCTGGGCTCAGACCATGTCCAAACTCTGCCATTGAGTCAATGCTGACTCAGAGCGACCCCCTGTGGAGTGTGGAGACTGTAACTGATTACAGGAGTGGAAACACAGAGTCTTTCTCCTGCAGAGCCTCTGGGGTTTCAAACTGCCGACCATGCAGTTTGCAGCCCAACACGTAACCACTACACCACCAGGGCTCCTAGTCCACGTCCTAAGTGGGACCTAAATAGTAATCATTGCTTACCTTGTTATTTCTAGAACAGCCCACCCCATTCCCACCCCCAACTTAACCTGCAAGAAATTCTTATTTCTATTTATCCAAGTAAAGATTGTTAGACTAGATCTCTTCAACACTATAAACCTCTGGTGAACCTGCAATACACCCCCAGCCTTGACTTCAGTTTTACAAGCTATGCAAAGAAGCAGATCACACAGTCTCTTTAGAAATTTTACAAGATTATACCTCTTGAAAAGGACTTAGCATTTGGAGGGGGTCGGGAGCTCACTAGGAAAATTAGCCATGCTCCACATAATGGGACCATTACTTCACAGCTTCTAACTGTAATACTCTGATTCATGCCGCACTTTTTATTTTGTTTTATAAAATCTGATTCTAAGGAACCATCAGGGCTTCAGGGTTCAGTGAACTCTCTACTTGCCTTCAAGTTCACGTCGAACCAAAGCTGCTGAGCGGTATTTAGGGCCTCAAAGAAGAATTTCCAGCACGTGCCATGATCGTCTACTGCGTGTCCCTGAGACTTTCTCTGAGCACAAATTGTAAGTGAGATGGGTTATAAATGTCGCCAGCAAAAGCCGTAGCGGTAGACACAGTGAATAAAGAGGCAAGAATGAAATTGTTTGGCTCAAACATCAATCTGTTTCCAGAAACTAGCCCTCTGAAACTGCCCCCCCCCAAATGCATTCAGCCTAATATGTACTGCAAAGGCTCACAGAAGTGCTTTTCAAATCCAAACTACTTCACTTATTCACTTTGTAGCCTTGAGCAAGTTACCAAACATCTTAGCCACAATCTCTTCCATGTAAAGAGGGAATAATCACATCTATCTCTTGGGCCACTCTTATATTCTTAGTGCTGCTATAACAGAAATGCTGTGAGAGGGTGACTTTATGGAACAGAAATTTACTTTCTCATGCGGACCGGCTGGAAGTTCAAATCCAGAGCCCTGGCTGTTGGAAAAAGCTTTCTCCGTTCACTGTGGG